CAAAAAAGTTTTTAATAAATGGTTGTGTTACAAAATGTGGCCTTAAATAAGAGGATTATAATACACCTCAAAACCTCCGCCCCCGGGTGGGGGGGGGGGGGAATTCTGGGAGTTGAAGTCCACTCATCTTAAAGTGGCCAAGTTTGGACAACACTGCTCTAGACCTAAGCTAACTAAGAAGTTCTGAATCTAGCTGACGGAGCTAAAAATTCTACTCAAACTAAAGCATTTATAATTGAAGTTTCCTTCCTGCATGGGAGGAAACTCAGAACTGAAAGTACTCTTCATCCAAGCGTACAGAATGCTGCCTATGAACCATTGCAATTATTGATAACCTTTTTATAACAGAATAGTTTGAACAGATCTTGGAAAGGTATTCAAATTTGGTTCGAAGCTTATGTCGTTCAATTTTATACATTCTTTAATGTAGGGAATATCTATACCGGTCCCATATATTTCTGATGTGTTATGTATCTGTGATTGGACAATTCCAAAATAAGGAGCTCACATATTAGAGCCACTGTTCGGAATTACATTATGAAGGACTATTTGCCAGTTCTCTGCATGATATCAGCATCAAAATAATTGGCTCAAATTTAAAATAATTCCATTGAAATATTTATTTATTTAGAAACTCAGTACATACCAGATTAAATGCTCCAACTCCCAGCTTTACACCACCCTCAAAATGGGGATGATTTTCTCCTTTAACATAACTGGGAGACTGCATTAGATTCTCCAGTTCCCTAGCAAAGCAAAATATTTAAGGATAAAAAATAAAAGCAATCATACAACTTTTTTACATTCGTGGCAATCATTACGGGCTACTAGTAATGATTAATTTTGGGTCTCACACATGATGCATGTGGCACCAATACACAGACACTTTCCTCGACACATATTTGGTTCCTTGTGCCATCTGACTTTTAGAAAATCCATGGAGTATTTCAATTTTAAAATGAATTGGAAGCTAGCATGGCCAAGTGTCAGCCTCTAGCATGATTTTCATTTCTACAGGGCCTCCAAAAGCATTCTCAGAAAACAACAATGAGAGTGGCTGTAGGCCAATGCATTGTTTGGAAGTACAGAAAAAAAAAATAATCTGAGAAGGGGAAGTATTAACATGGGTGTGGATATATCATCAGTAGTTTGCTTGATAGTGAATGGATGTCATGCTACCATTCCGTGAATGAGAAAACTTCCAATAGCAGTAATTTTGTAAGAATGCCAGAACATGCTCACCAAATTTCAGAGATGCTTACTAGCCCAGAATCATGGGGAAAACCTGATCTTCCTTGTAAACAAGGAAGATTCACATTTGGACCTTCTTGGTAGGAGCACCACAATATGAAAATCCCTTCCACAGAGGTGGGGAAAGGACTCGGAACTCTTTGTCTATTGCTTTGAAGCATACTTAAAATCTTTTGAGTTGCAAACCCCTGAGACAGCATTCCATAAGGCTCCTCAGATTCCCCTTCAAGACTGAAGAGACAGTTAACTCCAAGCCTGGAAACATAAGTTTCAATGATAGATTCTACCACTAGCCCCTGCAGCTTGCTCTTTCCAACACTGAACGTTTGGAAAGGAGACACAGAGGTGGGGGCAGGTCTTGAAGTTCTGTTGATCTGAAGGACCTAACTCAGTGTTGTCCAAACTTGGCCACTTTAAGATGAGTGGACTTCAACTCCCAGAA